AACAAAGAATAAAGGGAAAAGAACAAAGTTGGAGGGCTGACTCTACCTGACTTCTACAGTAATCAGCACAGTATGGTATCAGTGAAAGAACAAACAGATCAATGAAGCAGAATATAGAGTCCAGAAATTAACTCTCATAAATATAATTTACTGACCTTTGACAAAGAAGCAAAAGTATTAAGATGGAGCAAATACAGACTCTTAAATGATGCTGAAACAACCTGGATATCCACAAAATATGGATATGCAAAAGATGCAAAAAAAAAAAAAAAGAATTTAGACACAGACCTTACACCCATCACAAAAGTTAACTCAAAATGAATCATAGGGACTTCCCTGGTGGTGTAGGGGTCACGGGTTTGAGCCCTGGTCCAGGAAGTTCCCACATGCTGCAGAGCAACTAAGCCCATGTGTCGCAACTACTGAGCCTGCTCTAGGGCCCACATACCACAACTACTGAAAGCCCGTGTGCCTAGAGCCCATGCTCTGCAACAAGAGAAGCCACCGCAATGAGAAGCCCACACATGGCAATGAAGAGTAGGCCCCACTTGCTGCAGCTAGAGAAAGCCTGCATGTGGTAATGAAGGCCCAAACACGGCCAATAAATAAAGAGTAGTAATTTTTTAAAAAATGAATCATAGAGGTAAATGTAAATTAAAAAACTAAAAAATTCCTAGAAGATAACATAGGAGAAAACCTAGATGCCTTGGAAATGGTGATGCTTTTTAGATAGATGCAACAAAGACACTATCCATGAAAGAAATAATTGGTAAGCCAGACTTCATTAAAATTTTCTCCTCTGTAAAAGACTCAAGAGGATTAGAAGACAAGCCATCAAGTGGATTAGAAGACAAGCCATCAAATAAGCATATAAAAAGATATTCCATACCATGTCATCAGAAAAATATAAATTAAAACATAAATGAGATACCACTACACATCTATTAGAATGGCCAAAATCTGAAACACTGACAACACCAAAAACTGGCAAGAATGCAAAACAATAGGAACACTCATACATTGGTGGTGGAAATGCAAAATGATAGTCACTTTGAAAGACAGTTTGGCAGTTTTTACAAAACAAAATGCACTCTTACCATATGATCCAGCAATTGTTCTTTGATATTTACTTAACGGAGTTGAAAACCAGCAAGCTGGCCAATATTCACATTGCAGAGGGTCACAGAAGGAGAAGAGAGAAAGGGGCAGAAAGCTTATCCAAAGAAATAATGGCTGATAAATTCCCTAAAGTGGAGAAAGAAACAGACATCCAGATGCAGGAATCCTAAAAGGCACCAAATAAGGTAAAATCAAAGAGACCCACACTGAGACATTACAATAAAATTGTCAAGTTAAAGACAAGGATATCTTGTCAAAAAGAGAAGAAAGAACAAAGGAGGATATAGAGAAAAGTGAAATCCTGTTTACTGTTGTTGAGAATGTAAACTGGTAAAACTACTATGGAAAAATAGTATGGAAGTTTCTAAAGAAATTAAAATACAACTACCATACATCGAGCAGTGCTACTTCTGCATGTATATCCCAAGGAAAGAAAATTATTATTTCAAAGAGATACCTCTACTCTGATGTTTATTGCAGTATTCACAATAGCCAAGGTTTGAAGACAACCTAAGCATCCACTGATGAATGAAAGGATGAAGAGAATATGGTAGGTATACACAATAAAGTATTATTAAACTTTAAGAAATAAGGAAAGCTTGTCATTTGCAACATCGTGGGTGAACCGCAGGGGCATCACGCTAAGTAAAATAACTCAGACAGAGGAAGATGGTACTGCATGGTTTCATTTATATATGGAATATAAAAAACAAAAAGTCAAGAGGGAGGTCAAGATGGCAGAGTAGGAAGATGCTGAGCTCACCTCCCCCTACCACCCCCATGAACACATCAAAAATACATCTACATGTGGGGCAACTCTCACTGAAAACAATATGAAGACTGGCAGAAAGGTTCTTCTACAGCCAAAGCTATATAGAAAGACCCACAAAAAATTGGGTAGGAAGAATGAAAAGCAATTGGGTCAGGACCTATAGCCCTAGCAGGGGACGCAGAAGAGGAGGAGAATATTATGGGCTCCTGGATCCTCCCTGGGTAGTGAGGGGTTAAAGCCATAGGTTATGTGCCCCAGACCTGGGGTCTCACACCAGAAAGACGAGTTTCCTTAGCTGGTCGTGAAAAACAGTGGGACTCACTGGAGGGCTGTATGAAACCGGGACTCCACTCATGAAGAGCATACAGACATGCTTGCTCACTCCTGGGAACAGCATGGAGGGAGCAGATTGAAAACTGCCTTGGATTCTGGCTGTTTTCTCACAACTGCATACCCCAGTGCCTACCCCAGCTCACACCAAGCAACTTTGCTAGCACCTCTTGCTCTGGCACTGCTCTCCAGTATGGCAGAGGTGACATTGCTAAGGAGAGTGCACACACTTAGAGAGAATGAAGCCAACCTGGACCTAATCCTGCCTCTGATAGGGCTGTGATAGCCACTGAGCACGGAAGAAACTTGAGCTCACACCTAGCTCTGGCCCTACCTCCCCTCCATCTTCAGCCTTGCCTCCCACTAACAGGGTGGCTGCCAGCACACTCAGAGAAAAGATATGACTCGTGCTTAGGTTAGATTCAGCTCCCCTGCCAAAGCCATTGGGCAGACACAGACTGCATAAGGATTCTCCCACACAAGGACACACCTTCAAGACCAGGATAGGTAACTGCTTCACCTAGTTTCAGAGAGATAAAGTTAAACAGAATGAGAAGACAGAGGCGTATATTTAAAAAAGAAAGAATAAGAAAAACAACTGAAAAACCCTAACTAAACAAATAGTTTACCAGATAAAGAGTACAAGGCAATAGTACTAAGAAGGCTAACTAAACTAGGGAAAAGAGATGAATACAGTGAGACTTTTAACAAGAAACTAGAAAATATAAGAAAAAAACAGAGCTGAAGAATACAAAAACTGAAATGAAAAGTATATTAGAAGGAATACATAGTAGACTCAGTGATACAGAAGAACACATAGCATTCTGGAAGATAGAATAATGTAAATCACCCAATCAGAATAGAAAAAGGAAAACAAATTTTTTAAAAATGAGGATTGTCTAAAGAAGCTTTGAGACAACAGCAAGCATACTAACACTAGCAATATAGGGGTCCAGGAAGGAGAAGTGTGAGAGAAAATGGTAGATATTGTATTTGATGAAACTGTGGCTGAAAACCACCTGAAGGTGAAGAACGAAACAGATATCCTGATACAGGAAGTACAGAGAGTCCCAAACAAGATGAGCCTAAAAAGACCCACACACCAAAACATTTTGTAATTAAAATGGCAAAATTAAAGGTAAAGACAGAATTTTAAAGGCACCATGAAAAAAACAAAGAGTAACATATAAGGGAATGCCTATAAAGCAATCAGCTGATTTTTATGCAAAAACTTTGCAGGACAGAAGGGAGTGGTATGATATATTTAAAGTGATGAAAGGAAAAAGCCCTACAACCTAGGATACTCTACACAGCAAGGTTATTATTCAGAACTGAAGGAGAGAGAGAACTTCTCAGACACGCAAAATGTAAAAGAGTTCATCAGTACTAAACTGACCTTATGGAAAGTGTTAGAGTGTCTTCTTTAAGTGGAAAAGAAAAGGCTACAGCAATAAAAAATTTTATAGGATAGAAAAACTCTCACTAGGGAAGGCAAAAATAGTAAAGCCTGTGAATCGAACACTTAAGCTAGTACAAAGATTAAAAGAGAAAAATTGTAAGATATAACAACTACAAACAGTAAAGAGATAGAAATGAAGATGTAAAATAGATCATCAAAAACACAAAGTGTGTGAGAAGGGAGTAAAAAAAACATATTTTAGAATGTTTGCACTTAAATGAATACCAGTTTTAAAAACAGTATGTACAGTTATAGGTTCAACATATATGAACCAGATGGTAACCACAAATCAAATCTATAACAGATACACAAAAAAATAGAGAGAAAGGAACACAAGAATACCACCAAAGAAAATCATCAAATCACAAGGGAAGAGACTAAAGAAGAAAAAAAGGAGAGAAAAGAAGTACAAAAACAACCAGAAAGCAAGTGACAAAATAGCACTAAGTATCCACCTATCAATAATCGCTTTAAATGTCAGTGGACTAAATGCTCCAATCAAAAGACATACGGTAGCCAATTCGATAAAAAATAAGACTCTTCTGTATGCTGCCTACGAGAGATTCACTTGAGAGGCAAAGAGACACACACACTGAAAGTGTGGGAATGGAAAAATATATACCATGCAAATGGAAATAAAAATAAAACAGACATAGCAATACTCACATCAGACAAAGTAGATTTTAAAACAAAGTATGTAACAGAACACAAAAGAGGGCATTATGTAATGATAAAGGGACCAATTCAAAAAGAGGATATTGCCCTTGTTAACAGATATGCAGCTAATATAGGAGAACCTAAATTTATAAAGTAAATATTAATGGATTTAATGGGAGAAATTGACAGTAATACAATAATAGTAGAGGACTGTAACATCCCACTTACATCGTTGGACAAATCATCCAGAGAGACAAAAAGCAATAAGGAAGCAGTGGTCTTAAATGACACATTAGATCCACTGGATTTAGTCTACAGTACATGCCATTCAAAAACAGAAGAATACACGTTATTTTCAAGTGCAAATAGAACAGTCTCCAGAATAGATCACATGCTAGGTCACAAAACAAGTCTCAAGAAATTTAATAGGATAGAAATTACAGCAAGCATTTTTCTGACCACAACAGTATGAAACTAGAAATCAACTACATTAAGAAAAGTGGAAAAAACACAAAGAAGTGGAGACTAAACAACATGCTACTCAGAAAAAAAAAAGGGGGTCAACGAAGAAATCAAAGAGGAAATCAGACAATACCTTCAGGCAAATGAAAAGAAAAACAGAGCTTTCCAAAATCTATTGACATAGCAAAAGCAGTTTTAGAGGGAAGTTTATAGTTACCTCAAGAAACAAGAACAATCTCAAATCAACAACCTAAACTCCCATCTATAGGAATAAGGAAAAGAAAAACAAAAATCCGAAGTCGGCATAAGGATGTAAATAATAAAGATCAGAGAGGAAATAAAGTAGGATTAAAAAAATAGAAAAGATCAATAAAACCAAGAGCTGTTTTTTGGAAAAGATAAACAGAATTGAGAAACTTTTAGCCAGGCTCATTAAGAAAAAAAGAGAGGAACCACATAAACAAAATAAGAAATGAAAGAGGCAAAATTACAACTAACATCACAGAGATACAAAAAATCCTGAGAATACTATGAATAGTTATGTATGCCAACAAAACGGACAACCTAGAAGAAATAGATAAATTCCTAGAAACATACAACCTTCCAAAACTGAATCAGGAAGGAATAGATAATCTGAACAGACTGATCCTTAGTAGTGAAATTGAATCAGTAATCAAAAAACTCCCAGCAAAAAAAGTCCAGGACAGATGGCTTCACATGGGATTTCTATGAAACATATAAAGAAGAACTAATAACTATTCTTCTCAAACTGTTACAAAAAATTGAAGAGAGGAGGGAACACTCCAAAATTTATTCTATGAGGCTGCAATTACCCTGATACCCAAATGAGACAAAGACACTACCTAGAAAAGAAATTACAGGCCACTATCTGTGATGAATACAGATGCAAAAATCCTCAGCAAAATATTAGCAAAACAAATACAACACTATATTAAAAAGATTATACACCATGATGATGTGGGATTTATTCCAGGGGTACAAGGATGGTTCAATGTCCACAAATCAATCAGTGTGACACACCACATTAAGAAAGTGACAAATAAAATGCACATTATAATCTCAATAGAATGAGAACAGTCATTTGACAAAATTCGAAAACGATTCATGATAAAAATTATCATCAAAGTTGATATAGAGGGACTATATCTCAACATAATAAAGACCATTTTTGACAAAACCACAGCTAATATCGTATTGAATGATGAAAAGCTGAAAGCTTTTTCTCTAAAATAAGGAAGGCAAGGATGCCCACTCTTGCCACTTGTATTTAACATAAAACTGGAAGTCCTAGACCCAGAAATCAGACAAGAAAAAGAAATAAAAGATATCTATTGCAAGGGAAGAAGTAAATCAGTCACTATTTGTGGTAGACATGATACTTTATATACAAAATGCTAAAGTCTCCACCAAAAAAGCTGTTAGAACTAATAAATGAATTAAGTTGCAGGATACAAGATTCATATACAGAAATCTGTTGCTTTTCTATACACAAATAATGAATTATCAGAAAAAGAAATCAAGAAAACAATTCCATTTACAGTCACATCCAAAAGAATAAAATACCTAGGAATAAACTTGTGGTGAAAGTCCTATATGCTGAAAACTATAAAATGCTGATGAAGGATGTTGAAAATGATACAAAGAAATGGAAAGGTATCCCATGTTCATGGATTGGAAAATTAATATTTTGTTTTACATATACATGTATCTATTCTTTTTCACATTCTTTTCCCATTTAGGTTATTACAAAATGTTGAGCAGAGTTCCCTGTGATATACAGTAGGACCTTGTTGGTAATCTGTTTTAAATATATTAGTAGTAGTCTTAGCAATATTTTTTTAATCTGTCTCCTAAAGCAAAGGAAACAAATGCAGAAATAAACAAATGGTACCTACTTAAACGTAAAAGCTTTTGTACAGCAAAGGAAGCCATTGATAAAATGAAAAAACCTGATGGGAGAAAGTATTTGAAGTGATTTGTCTCATAAGGCATTTGTATCCAACATATATAAACAGCTCATACAAAACAATATCAAAGGAAAAAAACCCGAAATTTAAAAACGGGCAGAAAACCTGAATAGATAGTTTTCCAAAGACGACATAGAGATGGCCAACAGGCATATGAGAAAATGCTGAACACTGCAAATCATCAGGCAGATGCAACTCAAAACCACAATGAAATTTGACCTCTCACCTAACAAAATGGCTGTTGTCAAAACAACCACAAGTAACCAAATGTTGGCAAGGATATGGATAAAACAGAGTCCTAGTACACTGGTGGTGGGGACGTAAATTTGTGCAGCCACTGTGGAAAACAGTATAGGGATTCCTCGTAAAACTGAAGATAGAACTACCATATGATCCAGCAATTTTGCTCCTGGATAAATATTGAAAGAAAACAAAAACACTAATTTGAAAAGATATATGCACACCAATGTTCATAGTAGCATTATTTATAATAGCCAAGATATGAAAGCAACCTGTGTCCATCAACATATGTATGCATAAAGAGAGTATACATATATACACTCACACACACACCCACAATAATGGGTAATGGAATATTAGTCATCCATAAAAAGGAATAAAATTTTGCCTTTTGCCAAAACATGGATAGGCCTGTAGGGTATTGTGCTTACTGAAATAAGTCAGAGAAAGACAAATACTGTATTTTATCACTTATATGTAGAATCTAAAAAAGAAAAAGAATGAATATAACCAAGCAGAAACATAACAAACTAGTGGTTACCAGTAGGGAGATGGAGGGAGGGATGAAGGGAGGGGCAATATAGAGGTAGCAGATTAAAAGGTACAAAAATGTCTATGGATAAAATAAACAAGCTACAGGATATACTGTACAGTATAGGCAATAGTTAATATTTTTAAATCTGTATAAACAATTACTATGTTGTACATCTGAAACTAACATAATGTACATCAACTATAATTTAATGAAAATAAATAAAATAACTAATAAATATATAAATAAATTGAAATCATAAAATCACAGAAGAGTAGTTGTTTAGGGATAGGAGAAACAGGGAGAGGTTGGTAAAAGGGTATACACTTTCAGGTATAAGATAAATAAGTCTGAGGATCTAATGTATAACATGGTGAGTACAGTTCATAACACTGTACTGTATAATATAAATTTGCTAATAGAGTGGAACTTAAATATTCTCACTAAACAAACAAACAATATTGTAGGTAAGTATGTGAGATGTTTAACTTGATGGGGTAATTCTTTCACTATGTGTGTGTGTGTGTACTCTCATGTTGTATACTTTAAATCTTATCAATTTAATTGTCAGTTATGCCTGAATGATATCAAGAGTCTAGTATAATTAAAAACAGAAATATCAGTGATTGGGGGTCAGGGAGTGAGAAAGATAAATTGTCAGAGTGCGCAGGATTTTTAGAGGGATGATAATACTTTGTGCGGTACTATAATGACAGATATATGTCACAACACATTTGTCCAAACCCATAGGATATAAAACACCAAGAGTGAACCCTAAGATAAACTATGAACTTTGGGAGATTGACTTCTCCATGTAGGTTCACTCTTGGAAAAAATGATACCATTTTGGTGAGTTATTTTGATAATAAGGGAGTATATTCATGTGTGGGGTCAGGGGGTATGTGGGAAATCATTGTACCTTTCTCTCAATTTTGTTGTGAACTGAAAACTGCTCTAAAAAGTCTTTAAAGAAAAACAAGGGGGGACAATAAAAACCCTACTAATCATCAACTTGAAAATGCTTCAACTCTTCAATAAGTTATATCTTATGACTGTGACCTTGACTAGGACATGGCCTGAATAAGAAGATAGAGTGTATTTCTTTAAAGAAAGTGTATATCTTTAAAAAGAACTGTTCACAAAAGTTTTGTTTGAATAAAGCATAGCTTGAGTGACCAGGGATGTCTCAAAAAGTCTTGATATAGATCCACTTATAAAGGGTGTCATTTTAGATATTTCCTTTTGTGAAGAGCCATAAAGACCCAGAAAAAAGCTCAATACATAGTAATAAAACACCACCAGTCTTACTGTGTTTTAACTCTTTTGCATGTGCTCCTTGAAAGAAGAATATAACTGATATCTGATTGTGAATTAAATATAACTCATGGTCTGTGAATGACATATATGCATTGTGTGTACTGACTGTATCAATGCAACAGACCTCAGTAGAAGCATTCTATTTGCATCTATCTCTATGTTTACCTGGTATGACTTACCTCCTAGACCCTACCTGGACATTAAGAAGCCCCAGTCACCACTGTCATGTTACCTAACACTTCCAGCTGGTTTGGACCCTTGAATTGAGAGCCCACTCTGGCATGGTTTTCATCATGTGCATTGTGGTATAAGCCAAAGCACCTTTAGTAATGAAGCTTGAATGAACAATACTCACAGAGGCTGCAGTTCTGCCCAATTCTAGATTCAGAAAAACACGATGCCATTAAATGAGATCCAGTTCACACAACACATATCCAGAGAGGCCTGATGACACACCTGGAAAGGCAAGAAATTAAAGCCCTGTGGTGACTGTAGTTAACAATACTGTATTGTATACAGTTGACCCTTGGACATGGGTTTGAACTACGTGAGTCCACTTGTACATGGGTTTTCTTTTCAACAAATAAGTACTACACTCCTACATGATCTGCAGTTGGTTGAATCTGTGGATGCAGAACTGTAAGGATGGCCAATTGTTAAATTATACACAGATTTTTCAACTGCATGGGAGATCTACCCTCCTAACACCTGAGTTACTCAAGGGTCAACTCTACTTTAAAGTTGCTGAATCAGCCTTAAATATTCTCATCACAAAACAACAACAAAATTGGTAATTTTGTGAGGTTATGAATGTGCTAACTAACCATATAGTGGTAATCATGTCACAATATACACTTGTATTGAATTATCATGTTGTACATCTTAAACTTACACAATGTTATATGTCAATTATATCTCAATTTCAGTAAAGCTTGAAAAATAATCTTAAAAGTAGTCAAATACAACAACACATCACATACACGATAACAGTAAAAACTGACTGACTTTTCATTAGAAACGCTGAAGACTTCAGGAAAATGAAATAAGATCTTTAAAGCATAGAAAGAAAATTTTCAATCAGTAACATAGAATTCTGTATCTTTCAAAAGTAAGAACAAACTCAAAAAATTTGAAAGCAGAGATTCAGATACTTGTATGCCAGTGTTAACTGGAGCATATTCACAATATCCAAAGGTGAAAATAACACAAATGTCCCCCAATGAATGAATGAACATGGATAAACAAATGTAATATATCTATACAATATAATATCATTCAGCCTTAGAAAGGAATGAAATACTGATAACCTGCTACAACACAGAGGAACTTTGAAAACATATGCTAGGTCAAATAAAGCAGACACAAAAGAACAGATATTGTATGATTCCACTTATATGAGGTATCTAGAATAGGCAAATTCATAGAGACAGAAAGTAGATTAGAGGGGGCTAGAAGGAGGGAGGAAGAGGGATAAATGAGGGAGTTATTGCTTAATGGTTACAAAATTTCTGTTCAAGGTTATGAAAAGTTTTAGAAATAGTAGAAATTGTCACACAATACTGTGAATGTAGTTAGTGCCACTAAATTGTACACTCAAAATGAATAAAATAAAATTATGTTATAAACATTTTACCACAATTAAAAATCTATAAGGTAACATACCAAAAATTAATTGAATTGTACACTTTAAATGGGTGAATTGTATGGTATGTGAATTACATCTCAATAAAACTGTTAACAAATGAAAAAAAATTTTTTTAAAAAGATAAGCTCTGTGGGCAAATGGCAAATGTTGATGAGAGAAGAGGTAGGAGAGAGCCAGAAGAAAATCCTTCTACCTCTCCTCAACAGATTCTTCAACAAGTGGATGCTGGTTTTATACAGTCTGCTCCAAGTTATCCCATGTGACTTAGAAGTCACTGTGTTTAGTAAAACTGAGGTCATGTTCAGTTCTTTATTCCTAGGTACTAGGATTATGTGACCCTACCCATCCCCTCCCTCCTCCTACCATACTGTTAATATGTAAATTTTATTTCCAGCTATATTTTCAAGAGGACCTTGGTTAAGACACACTCTGAATCCTGTACATATTAGTTTGTTTTCTGCACATTTTTGGTTTCAGCCCCAACTGTGATAGAGTTTCACACAGATTGAAAGACTCCCATTTATCTCTCTTTTTCAATATCAGGGCACTTCCTAAAAGGGAGGTGTTGGCTTCGTTCACATATTTTTGCAAAGCTCTAAAGTGCATTAGTGTTAATACCCCCCAAAAGCAACTCTCAACTCGTGCAAGGTGCTATGC